TTTTTTTTTTTTTTTTTTTTTTGAGATGAAGTCTTGCTCTTTGGCCAGACTGGAGTGCAATAGCATGATCTTGCTCACTGCAACCTCTGCGTCCTAGGTTCAAGCGATTCCCCTGCCTCAGCCTCCCAAGTAGCTGGGATTACAGGCATATGCCACCACACCCAGCTAATTTTTTGTATTTTAGTAGAGACGGGGTTTCACCATGTTGGCCAAGACAATCATGATCTCCTGACCTTGTGATCTGCCCACCTCAGCCTCCCAAAGTGCTGTAATTACAGGCATGAGCCACTGTGTCCAGCTGGTCTCTGGTCTCTATCTCTTGACCTTGTGATTCGCCCACCTCCGCCTTCCAAAGTGCTGCGATTACAGGTGTGAGCCGCCGCGCCCGGCCTTTTTTAGGTAAAATTTTAAGGTAAAATTAGTTCTGAGGCCGGGCGCAGTGGTTCATGCCTGTAATCCCAGCACTTTGGGAGGCCGAGATGGGCGGATCACCTGGAGTCAGGAGTTCAAGACCAGCCTGGCCAACATGGTGAAACCCCATCTCTACAAAAATTTGCCAGGCATGATGGTGGGTACCTATAATCCCAGCTACTGGGGAGGCTGAGGTGGGAGAATCGCTTGAACCCAGAAGGTGGAGGTGGCGGTGGGCCGAGATCCTGCCATTGCACTCCAGCCTGAGCAACAGAGCGAGACTATGTCTCAAAAAAAAAGGAAAAAAAAAAATTAGTTCTAATATGAAGACTAGGGTACCAGCATAATTAATTGATTGTTTGAAATGCTCTTCTTAATTGTACCTGTCTCTTATACACATCTAGATGTGTATAAGAGACAGCCACCTCGCCCGGCTAGTGTTTTGTATTTTTTTAGTAGAGACGGGGTTTCACTGTGTTAGCCAGGATGGTCTCGATCTCCTGACCTTGTGATCCGTCCGTCTCGGCCTCCCAAAGTGCTGGGATTACAGGCTTGAGCCACCGCGCCTGGCCTCTGTGCATGATTTTAATGGATTTGAAGCATTTGTATTTTTGAAGGGTCAAATAGGTCAAATACAAGAAGTAAAAGAGTAAATAACATTGTAATTTTAATTGAAGCATTTGTTTAGAAATTCACCTTTGAGGCTGGGCGTGGTGGCTCATGCCCTAATCCCAGCACTTTGGGAGGCTGAGGCGGGTGGATCACCTCAGGTCAGGAGTTCGAGACCAGCCTGGCCAATGTGGCGAAACTCCGTCTCTACTAAAAATATAAAAATTACCCAGGTGTGGTTGTGGGCGCCTGTAATCCCAGCTACTTGGGAGGCGAGGCAGGAGAATCACTTAAACCCGGGAGGCAGAGGTTGTGGTGAGCCAAGATTGCGCCATTGCACTTCAGCCTGGGTAACAGAGCAAAACTCCGTCTCAAAAAAAAAAAAAATTGTATCTATTCAGAATGAAGATGCTCTCAATGTACTGATAATGGTAAACTCTCCAAGAAATATTGAGAGAAAAAAAATTCAGAATAGAATCTATACTAATTTCTTTTTGAAAAGAAAAAATGTATTACTTGATTTTGCTTATATATGCATAAACAAATAATATACATGAAATTATTAACAATACTTATGTGTGTGATAGAGATGTATATATGGGTACTCTGTAAATGGAAGAGAGAAAATGGAGACTTTATATATTCTCCCAACATAACAGCATTTTGTTATAGCAGGGTTTTTTTGCTTGTTTGTTTTTGAGACAGAGTCTCACTCTGTCGCCCAGGCTGGAGTGCAGGGTACAATCTCAGCTCACTGCAGTCTCTGCCTCCTGGGTTCATTCTCCTGCCTCAGCCTCCCAAGTAGCTGTGACTACAGGTGTGAGTGACCACACCCACCTAATTTTTGTATTTTTAGTAGAGACGGGGTATCACTGTGTTGGTCAGGCTGGTCTGGAACTCCCAGCCTCAGGTGATCTGCCCGCCTGGGCCTTCCAAAGTGCAGGGATTACAGGCATGAGCCACCACACCTGGCCTGTTATAACAGTTTTTAAACACAAAAGTTGACTGAGTGTGGTGCCTCACACCTGTAATACCAGCACTTTGGAAGGCCATGGTGGGCAGATCACCTGAGGCTGGGAGTTCCTGACCAGCCTGGCCAACATCGTGAAACCGTATGTCTACTGAAAATACAAAAATTAGCTTGGCATGGCGGTACAGACCTGTAATCCCAGCTACTTGAAGTCTGAGGCAGGAGAATTGCTGGAACCCGGGTGGCAGAATTTACAGTGAGCCAAGATAGCGCCACTGCACTCCTGGGCGACAGAGCAAGACTGTCTCAAAAATAAATAAACACAAAAGTTGAAAGAATTGTGCCGTGAGCAACCATTTATATAATACCACCTAGATTCTACAAGTAGCATCTTATTATATTACGTATCTATCAGATTTTTAGTTTTCAAACCCAAGATAATCTCTGTAAAGTTTTTCCATCAAATTTTTCTTGATGCATTTCAAAGTATGTTATAGGTGTACACATCGGTATACCTCACCCCTCTTACATAACATTAACTTACAATTTACTGTTTTAAGGTTCTTTTTTTAAGTAAAAAAAAAAATTTTTTTTTAGATGTAGTCTCACTTTGTTACCAGGCTGGAGTGCAGTGGGCGCAATCTTGGCTCACTGCAACCTCTGCCTCCCAGGTTCAAGCGATTCTCCCACCTCAGCCTCCCAAATAGCTGGGACTACAGGCACGTGCCACCAAGCCCAGCTAATTTTTGCATTTTTAGTAGAGACAGGGTTTCACCATGTTGAGCAGGATT